TTTAGGACATCACAAGCTGAACGGAGATTACCGTCTGACTGGAAAACGGCCTCTGTAGTAGCCATACACAAGGGAGGTAAGAAGACAGATGTTCAGAACTACCGACCTGTTAGTTTAACTAGAGTACTATGTAAGGTACTAGAAAAGATAGTTAAAACGCATCTGGTGAAGCATCTGGAGCGTAACATACTAATGGCAGAGGCACAGCATGGTTTCGTTAAGCAACGTTCATGCCTAACAAACCTCTTGTGCTTTTTGGAGGATGTTAGATGAGGGTAAAACCGTAGAGGTGTGCTATCTGGATTTCAGCAAGGCTTTTGATTCAGTGAATCATCGTCCGCTGTTGACCAAATTAGAACGAGTTGGAATCCAAGGATAGTTGTACAGGTGGATAAGTGCCTTTCTCTCACAACGATCATTCTGTGACGGTTGGTGAGAACAGGTCCACACCAGTCCAGCTGACTAGCGGAGTTCCACAAGGCTCAATGTTAGGGCCGCTTCTGTTTCCTCTCTACATAAACGACTTGCCAAGCACTCTGAAACCATCATGCTACATTTTTGCAGATGACGTCAAAGTGGTTGGTTCGACTGGCAGAAGTGATCTGGATTGGGATTTAGAGCAAGTAGCTAGATAGGCAAAGGATTGGGACCTAATTCTTACCGCTACCAACAGTCATTAGCTCACAGGGGTACTTGACAGAATGGTAGTTCACTCGGAAGAGCACAAACTCGCTATCGAACCCGCTACTAGGATTACGGACTCGCGGGTATGATATCGAACAACTTTAAGTGGTCTGACCAATGTTCTGAAAACGAGGAACGGTTGTTGGCTCTATGTTCTGACCACCGCCTTTTCCTTGCCGGTACGAACTTTAGACGCTCCAACTGCCGTTACGCCACTTGGCGTCCACCCTCCTCGAGTCAGCGACTAACCCAGATAGACCACATCGCTATAAGCTACGAATGGCGGGGTTGCATTCAAGACTCCCGATCGTACTGGAGCACTACCCTCGAATCCAATCACGCGTTAGTTTGCACCATTTGCTTCGGTGGGCGTCCTAAAAGTACAGCACAGCCGCGGTTAGACTGCGATAAGTTGTCTCATCCAGCATGCTTAGCCGTCTTTCAAAACGCGCTAGCTGAAGAGCTAGAACAAACCCCACCTGATAACGTCAGTGAGTACTGGTCGCCTATCAAAAATGCTGTGCATTCTGCTGGCTTAGTTGTGGTCTGACACGCTATGTCGTGACACTCTGGATTTCTGCTGAGTCTCTGCGCCTTTTTGACGCACGTCGGACCGGTAGAGAGCATAAAGTAACACGGCTTGTAATGAGAGGTGAACTTGAAGTAAGCCTACACAGAGATCCCGAGATCTGGTGGTCTCAACGCGCATCAGAGATGGAACGTGTTGCCGCCATGAGAAATTCCCGTAAGTTGTTCCATCTCATCCGAGTCACCGGTAGGAAAGCCTTGGGTGTGAGCGAGACGACCTATGAAGCTGACTACTCGCTCATTCACAACAGCGACGTCTTGAACGCTGGGCGGAGCACTTCAAAGCACAATTTAGCTGGCCACTCGCGCCAGCTTCTCACGCAGCTATTCCGGCACACGCCCCATGGTCTGTTTCAATAAACCCACCTTCTGAGGCGGAAATCCGTAAGGAGATCCAAGCCTTGGGACATCACAAAGCGCCGGGCTCCGATGGCCTTCCCCCAACTCTATTTAAAGATGGTGGGCTAAAGCATGTTAGAGAACTCCACGTCCTGTCCTCTAAAGTTTGTAACACTGAGCAGGTC